TCCCTTTGCTCTTCATTTTGCAAATTGAGTGAGCAAAACAATACTGTGTTATTTGAATTCTTTCCTTTCTCGATTTCTAGTGTGATTGAGCATCTAGTGTGTGTTTTTTGGGGGCGGGCAGGAATTTCCCCCATCTAAAGTGGTGTTTCATTTTTCTGCCATGGTTCTGAAATTTCAGCATGATGTGTCTGGGGTAGATCTTGTTTCCATTCATCTTTGTAGATACTCCCTTTCGTTCTCTGGACATTTTTTCCCCCTATAATTTGAGTGTCTCATCCCTTCTGTTTTCTCATCCTTTCCTTTGGGAACTGTTAGATGTTGAAAATTTTGGATCTAGTCTCTGTTGTTTAACTTTTCTTCCCCAAGTTTTGCATCCTTACATACAGCATTGTGGGAAAATCCCTCGGCTTCATTTCCCAGGTTTGTTCTTCATCTGTGTCTATTCTGCTGCTCCATTAGCCAGCTGCTGAGTTTCTTAATGGGACTGTAATGATTCCCACCTTCTCGATTTCTTTCTGGTTCTTTTTCTTAACAAGTTGTTGTTCAGGTGTACAATTTCCTGTTTTAGCTCCTGAGGAGAAAATAGACCTGTTGTCTTTCTTTCTTTCTTTTCTTTTTTTCCTTTTCTTTGCTTTTCTTACCTTTTCTTTTCTTGTAAACTTTACGCCCAACATGGGGCTCAAACTCAGGACCCTGAGATCAAGAGTTGTATACTCTACCGACTGAGCCAGCCAGGTTCCCCCAAAATGGACCTGTTTTTATTAGAGTCCTTTCTTTTCTTTCTTTTATTTTAAGATTTATTTATTTATTTTAGAGAGAGAGAGCGTGGCGGGGAGAGGCAAAGAGAGAGGGAAACTCAAGCAGACTCCGTACTCAGTGCAGAGCCGATGTGGGGCTCGATCTCACGGCCCTGAGATCACAACCTGACCTGAAACCAGGAGCTGGACACTCAGCTGACTGCACCACCCAGGCACCCCAAAGAGTCCTTTCTTCTAAAGCCTCCTTTTATTTGCTTTAGTAACTGTTTCCTTCGTTGTTACTTCTCTTGGCTTGGTTTGGTGCTGTTTGATGATATTTGGTGAGACAAGTACATAAAAACAGTTTAGAAAGACTTCTGGCGAAAGTAAGAAAAGGGCCTAAATGAGAATATTTTTTGCTACTTTACTCCCTAGCATTGGATGAGTTAGGCTCTCCTGTAAAGACATCCAGTCCATGTAGTTATGCTGGATACATCTGTATTAGAGCTGTCTTCAAGTTAATCAGTTTTTTGTTCATTCACTGAGTATTATTTAGTGCTTCCCACATACTAGGCATTGTATGAGGTGCTAAAGATTATTAATGCTTATATGGAAAATCATTGTCTAGCATAATTGTGAGATAAAAAGCAATTAGGATATATTGAAGGATATATCATATAATTTAGTGAAGTGTTTAATTGTCAAGAACATAATCTGGAAATATGGCCGGGATGAAGTCAGAAACAATTCACTGCACAGCTTAAAAAGAGTTCCGTCTTCTAAACTCTTAGAAGTTGCTAATGGGTGTCTTCAATTACGATCATCACTAGCACAAATCAAATGTTCAATAGTAAAAGACTCCAAAGTAGACTGATATTTTAGTTATTTTCTTTTTTAAAATTTTATTTTATTATGTTATTTTAGTCACCATACATTACATCATTAGTTTTTGAT